AGCAGTTAAAATGAAGCCCTTGTTTAAGGGCAGAGAGGAGCAAGATGCGCTCCAGCTCTGAGGATAGATTTGGACATGTCATGATCTGGATCATCATGACCTGGATCAAAGAACATTACCAGGCTAACATGTCAGCAGCAGCTGCTGAAGTGCCCCAGGAACTGCTGAATACTGGTTTTGGTTCAGGGGCAGGTTTGGAGCCAGGCTGTGGCGCTGCTCAGCACTCACAGTGACAGAGATGGGAACACACATATTGCAAGTTTTATCCCTGGGGAGGAGAAGGAAGGGTGGAGGTCACAGGACCGATGTCACACGCAGGAGGGTGGCTGTCCACGGCTCCAGACACACAGGAGACCAACACACAGGTGACAGCCAACCCCCAATGTTCCCTGCAGGGAGGAGATGCACCAGGGGAGTATCCCAACATCCTCACTTGGAGTCCATGCAGCTCTCAGAGAGGTGCCATGTGGGGCAGAAAGAGGGAAAACATAAACGAACCCACCCTTCTGGCTGCACGGAGACTCACGAGTGGTTACCTGTCCAGAGATCAGTGGGGTTATGTGCATTAGTCGTGCAAGAGGAGAAACAAACTGAAACACAAGTAGTGAGAATCCTCATCTTTGGTATTGTAGCTGTTGAGGTTTTGGTTGCTCTGTTCCTTGTTCTTTTGAAAAAACTGCATAGGCACAAATTAAAGACAATCTTCGACTTTAAGAGGACTTGAGTTGTCAAATGAAGCAGCAATTGTACTGGCTTTGCTTTGTTCTCATTCTTGTCAACCCTTTCTTTGAGATCTGCTTCCGAAAACGTCCGAGATGTTTGTAGAACACAGTGTGGGACTCGTTTGCTTCCTGACATGCTTCCTTGTTTTTTTTTGTTTTTTTTTTTAAATTTTTATTTTATCTTTCAATGGAACAGTTTGTTGCAGAAGAAGTAGGTGCAGAAAACGTTTCTTTGGTTTCGATTAAGTAGTACATAAAAAAGTCTCAAGTGTCTGTGGCGGAGCCCAGGCCGGTCAGCAGCCGGCGGCCGCCGCCAGGGCGGCAGAGAGGGCCTGGGGCTCGCCGGCCAGCCACCCGCACCAGCGGCCACAAGGACAAATGGCAAGGTATAAACATCTTTGGCTTGCAGAAATCCTGTCTCTTTGGTGTGCTGTGTTCCTGCCCGCTCGGCGAGCTGGCAGGGAAAAGGAACTTAGGGATGCGATAGAGCTAAACGCGGCACGTCTGAAACGGTCAGTGGCGTCTGAAGGGCTTGTTTCTGTTTCTTTTCCTGCTTGAAAGTACCATAAAATACTGATAAAATGAACAAAAATGCACTGAACGCTGAAAAGGTTTTGGTAACAGCTGCTGCCGAGGAGAAACCAGATTCTCAGAAACTAAAAAGGATGTAACAATGTAAATTAATCTAAGCTCCAAAACATAGTGTTTGCTCCATGAACTGTAGCAGTTCCACCGACCTCCTGAGTGTGCATTAGGTACAAGCACAGAGCTTGTGAGGAACTGCCAGCTGTGCTGGAGGCTCGTGGGGTGTTCCCGGGATGTCAGGCTGCAGCTGGCACAGCCGCCCTGGGCAGCCCAGCGCCGGG